CTAAGTGGATCTCACTCCAGAGATGAGATTGGAATCTTTGAATAGGATTTTGTTTCTCTGTGCCATACATGTGTCCCTCCCACTTGAGGGCATAGAGAGTAGGTCTGCCACAACCTTTCCCTTCCCTCTTACCGCCCACAGCAGTGAGGTGGAACAAGCAGTGTCTGCCCTTGAGTATAGTTACTGTCTTGATAGGCAACGAGTGGTCCTTTGATCTATCTGCATCTTTAGTACCTAAACACCTTTAAAAATCTGGGCCAAACCGTTTAAAAGGCAGTCTTGTTTTTTTTTTTTTTTTTGCCATAAATAGCACTAATAGGAGCCAAAGCCACTTCTTCTCAGGGACTATCTAAATGCCTGTTATATTTTGATCTGTTCTCACATGGCTAGTACACTTCTTCCTCCAAACATCAAAGCTCATAGCATTCAGGCTGCCTCCTTTGCATGGTTTAAAAACATTCTCATATCTGAAACCTGCAAGCCAGCTACTTGGAGTAATCCCCTTTGTTTAAAACCATGCCTTCTAACTGGCTGCAAGATCAGATGCCAAATTTGGTAGGGTGGTGTTAGGAGCAGTATTTAGTTAGTGTCAGTCAGTCCCATCTTCCAGATGGGGCACTAAGTTCCAGTCAACTAGAGTGGGAACACACAAACACAAACTCAAAGAAGCAAGAAAAGTTATTTCTTCGAATAGCCCCTGCTTATTCCCACTTTTAGGATCAAAGTCCCTGTTCTATGAGCTTCCAGAATCATCTGGAAAGCACTGTCCTTCGGGGCTACTCAACCTCTCTCTCCACTTCCCATCCTGGAGGCTTCCAGGGATTTAAAAGGTGGGGGGACTGGTCCCAACTGCCAGTAATTGAAGAAGGTGCAGCAAGCTCAAATCTAAGGTTACCGTATATCCTGTTTTGGCCGGAGCAGTCCCTTTTTTAGGCCCTGTCCCAGCCGTCCCAACTTTTTTTCAAAACTGGGCATTTGTCCCGTTTGCTCCTGCCAACTGATAATCAGTTGGCAAGAGCAAATGGGACAAATGCCCAGTTTTGTCAAAAAAAAAAAAAAAAGCAGGGTGGGATCCCTAGTGGGACACGGAGGAATGTGCAGGGAGGAGGCGAGTGCTAATGCCAGTCCTACCCTGGAAAGAGGCTCAGGCCAGCCAGCCCGCCTGCCCTGTGTGGAGCGGGGCGAGGGGGATGTCGGGCTAGCTCTGTTTGTGGGTGGGCAGCGGGGAGACTCAGGCCACCAGTGTTGTGCATGGGACTTGGGCCACCAGCCCCACAGGTGAGTTGCAGGGGGGAAATGGGGTCTCAGGCAGGTGACAGGGCGGCTTAGGCTGTCCTCTGGTGCCAGTGGGGATTGGGACCTTGGGCTGGCCCCGTGTGCGTGGGAGGCAGGTAGGGCTCAAGCTGGCTTCAAGTAGGGCGGGATCCCTTAGGTCAGCCTGGGGATGTCCCATTTTCCCTTTGGGAAAATATGGTCACTGTACTCAAATCACAAAGCATTCTTGTTGCTCTCCTCATAGGTTTTATATTTCTCTCTCTTTTTATACCCTTTTGAGGCAAAATTTGTTTATATAATTAGTTTGTCATTCCTGTTTTTGTTTTAAAAGAAAAGAGGAGATGCCTTTCTGGCATGGGTTTTGTCTGCACCCACAGGAGTGAGAGGATGGCTAATGCACTCCTGCTCATGGGGGAAGCTCTTCAGGCCTAGTCGACTAAGCTGGCACTGAGTAAGTCCAGCATCAGCTTTGAAGAGTGTCCCTCAGGAGCTGTTTTGGCTGCCTCTTCTTCCATGGGAGAAGTATATCAGGTTGGTATATCAGGTATATCACTGTCAAGGTCAGGTTGGCCTAGGAGACCTAGCTGTGTGCCTAAATTGGCTTTCTGGCCATTGTATGCAGTTTTCAAAGGAGCTGGATCCTAAAACATCTCTGGCAGCCAATTATAGATCAAGATCTGGATCCGCAACAGAGCACCGATCTGGAGCTCCTTCCCCCACCCCCGCCCCCCCCCGGCCAAAAAAAAGGCTGCGTACAGATCTGTGGGCTGACAAGTATGGATCCAGATCCAGGGTCAGATCCTGGATCCAAATTTGACAGCCAAACATGCAAGACTGCCAAACAGTTGCCAAGAACATCCTAGTACCTGGGTTCCAGCCAGCATGAATAGTTGACATCTTAGATTGTTGAGAATCACTTGTCTAGTAGCTCTATACCAATGAGGCTTCAGATCCACCCAGGTCAGGGGAGTCCCATTCTGCATTTCCAACACCATGATCTTCGAGAATTGCTTACAATACTTATTCTGTGCTCAACATAGTGACATGAGTAAGCAGATCTAGTATGGAGTCCTTACAACACTGGAAAGGAGAAATGCATTACAAGCTTCTGATCAGATCAAAGGATGACGGTTCTCTATAGAACAGTGTTTTTGCATCATGCTTCCCATTTGGTCATATTCAGATGCACACACTCAATGCTCTGCTTTGTTTGAAAGTGTGTTTTCCCCTTATGATGATTGTCTATCAAACTCTCATCCTGCAGCTGTGAAGAGACGGACTGAGTCTTAGACTCATTTATTATAATAAATCTTAGATTCCAATTTGCTTCTTTCCACAGCTGTCAGTTCCAGTGGTTCTTCATAGGAACTGTTGAAGTTCTCTTGGGTTCCCAGCCTATCCCTAAGGGCTAATTCAGAGCCCTCCCCAGGACCAGGTTTAGAAGACTATAGCTGTTGAGCATCTGACAGTCTGAGAACTGATGCCTGGATCAAAAACTCCCTTACAATGTGAGGGTACTATATCCATCTCAGTTCTGTTGATTCTGAGATCTCACAAATCTGAAGATTTCTCTGCTATGTAGCCTTTGTGGGAGAAACAGGTTACGGTGTCACCGGATCAGTCTGATGATCTAGAAAGAACTGCCTATTGACGTCATAGCTTCTCTATAGGTCTCTTTTTTACATTCCCATTTGAGGTCTATCTTCTTCAGGAAATTAAAAGGTGCATTACCAAGGTTCTGTGGAGAAGTTACAGAGTGCTGTAAACCCTGTATATGAGAAGCTAAGAAAACCAGTGATTAGTCCTTGGATACATCATAAATATTGATGGATCTGTGTATCTGATCTCTCATAGGAGGAAATTTTATTAGAACAATATTGAGCTCTGGACTACTTATCTTCAGTTATAACTAGCGCCTCATTCTAAGCTAGGAACAGATCAGGTACTGACTCCACCATGAAGGATGCAGTGGCTACGATTGGATCGCCCCCCTGTCAGGGTAGTAGAAACATCAAGGAGCACCCATCCTTAACTTAACCAAGTCTTTCTTTGATCTGAGAGATGAGTTTTTTTCCAATGGAGCAGTCAGCTTAGCATTTCAGAATGTTTCAGTAAACCTAGCTTCATTCCGTCTCATCTTGAAATAAACAGTCACACATAATGGTTAAGACATCCATCACCTACACATAATGGGGTGTGAGGTTTATTTCCTGGCCACAGTGTTAAGTGCAAATTTTCATATATCATACAATGTGGATAATAGGCCTGTATGACTTGGGGTAAAATGCTGTCTGGTTGTGCTAATACCTTGACAGAAGTCTTTCTGATTTCTAGAAGTGTTACAGTGGTATTCCCCCTTCTGTCTCATGGTCTCATATCTAACTGTTTACACATACCTTTGACTGAAGTCAAGAAAGTCTTCTATCTATAAAATTGTACCTTACCTTTTGGCCTTTTTAATGGCAGTAAGTTTTCCATTGCATGCCTTGTCCAGATGGGGCCAAAGCTTATCTATAAGTTACACAAATCCTTGGAGAGATGGAACTAACACAAGAGGAGTCAGTCTGTCACAGTCTAAAGGTTATCCATGTAGTGCACAGTGTTTCAGAATTATTGTGATCTGACAGAGCTTCAGCCTCCGGGAATTGTCAGCCCTCATCCAGGACAAAGGCAGTATCTGTGGCGTGCCCTAATGCTGTGTCTATCACACCATATTTCATGACTGATACTGCAGCTATATGTGCAATTTTTAGCAATTTTGTTTCCTTCCTTTTTTAGGGGGAGGGCGTCTTGGGAGAGCAAGAAGATAGAAATGACTTACTCTTGACATCCAGACCTGATGTTGTTTTGCCAGTTCTGCTGTCCTTGTTTAGCTAGTACTCCTCAGCCCATGTTCCTGGGGGCTGTAATACTTGTTAAAGTCCCCCAGGTCAGAATATGTAGAGGTCTGTTGAAGAAGAAATGAAGGTTACTTTCCTGTAACCATAGTTTTGCAAGATGAGCCTCTGCACATTCACATTCCCTGCGTAATTTCCCCACTTCTTTGGCATCTCAGGTTAGGAATTAATGGGAGGAACTGAGAGGTAGTTGGGGCCACTTTTATCTCCTTGGGAACTCTTCAGGAATCAGGAGATAAAGAGAGGCGAGTAGCCCCAGTGGACATTGCTTTCCAGAAGGTTCTGGAAGCTTGCAGCTCAGGTGCCTTCATCCCACAAGTATGAGCATGCAGAGGCTCATCTCAAAGACCTCTGGTTCATTTTTAGGAACTGTGGTTCTTCAAGATGTTGTCCATGTGAGTCACATGACCAGCCCTCAATCCCTGCTTTTTCAGAGTCGTCTTTACCTGGAATTCTAAAATAGCAAGGAAACTAAGGGGTGGTTGCTCTGTCCTTTATTCTCTCATGTGGGTGAGCATGAGGACACACGTGGAACAGGCATGGCCCAACGGACACTGCTATTGAAAGATTCTGATCTCTTATACATGAGGTTCGTACAAACCTAGAGTGGGATCCTCACAAACGACAGCTTGAAGAACAATTACTTCCAATAGAGATAGTGTATAGTTTAATCTTAACAGTGGTTGTTAAACTCTGCACTTTTTTTAACAAAGATTCTCCTCTTTGCTGAAATTTGTGCCATATACTGAAAAGATGTACATGTATCTTTTTGCTGTATCTACATGTATTCTTTTTGATCAAAACCACAACTACTTTGATTTTTTTCAGGTATAGACAGCTGCAACTCAGCACAGAGAGCAAGGTGGCTGAACTTCTCCATCAAAGTAAATTAAAGTCCTTTGAGAGTGAACGTGTTCAACTCATGCAAGAAGAAACGGCAAAGAATCTCTCTCAATGTCAGTTAGAATGTGAGAAATATCAGAGAAAACTGGAGGTATGTTACAAAAGGAATCTGTGACGGATTTCTCCTGGGGTGCAACCTGGAACTGGGGTACCACTGAGCCCTCCAACCCAACAGCTTGGGCTCCCTTTACACCACTGCAGTGACCAGACTGCCAAACCCTCTCCCAGACTCCAGCCTGCACTTTTACCAGCACACATACAGGTAGGGACACACCAAGCTGCACTTACATACAGATGCTGTGATCAGTTCTGCATGGGGAAGCTTCAGCTAAGGAACTTCCCAGATACTCAGGTACACACACCCCTTTGGGTTGTAAACCCAAAATTATACCATCTTGCGCTGCAAAGAGAACTGTGCGGCATAAGCTCATGAAATTCGCCCCCTCCCTCAATGTGGAGAGGAAATATACAACAGCTTTCTGCTCCGAGTTATGACTTCCACACACACTGGTTTTAGACAAAGCAAAAACAAGTTTATTAATTACAAAAGATGGATTTTAAGTGTTTATAAGGGATAGCAATCAGATCAAAGCAGATTATCTAGCAAATAAAATATGCAAACTAAGCTTAATATACTACATAGATTGGATATGAATAGCAAATTCTCACCCTAAATGATAATGCAAGCAGGCTGCGGATTCTTAAGGGGCAAGCTGCTGTGGCTTACAGCTTAGAAACGCCAGTTGTTTCATTCACAGGCTAAAAATTCCTTTTTTAGCCTGGGTTCAGCACTTCCCCCATTTCAGTCTTTCTATTCTTTAGGTGTTTTCAGGAGTCTTCTTGCGTGAGGAGTCAGTGAAGAACCACGATGGTGTCACTCCCCTGCCTAATATAGCTTTTGCATATGGCGGGAGCCCTTTGTTTCAAAGCTTGGTCCCCACGCCAGTCAGTGGAAAAACACTGATGTCCCAAGATGGAGTCCAGCACCGGGTGACCTCGTCATATGTCCCTGTAATGTCACATCAGCCATGATTCATAGGCTGTTTGTAGCATCCTCAGGAACATACACACAGGAGATAAGCTTCTTCTAAGGCCTATTGTTTTCTTCTAATGGCTCATTAACCTGAATGGCCCTTCCCAGCCAGCCATCTAGACTGAGAGTCTTTTACCTAGTGGGCTTTCCCATGTGTAAACACATTTATAACAAGTTAGAAATACATAGACATCTAACTTCAGATACAAAAATAATACATGCGTACAAGTAGGATAAACATATTCAGTAAATAACCTTTTCAATGATATCTTACATGGCCTATCTTGCATAAAATACATCATAGTTATTCCATAATCATATGATAATAATATCTCTATGAAGAATTGGGGTGCGGTATTACACAATCTTTTTTTATATATATATAATAAAAGTTACAGAACTTGCAATGGAGTAAAAATTTCAGATGTTATAAAATACACAAGGAATTGGCATTGCCACTGAAGTCTGATGAAGCAACGTTTATTGAAACTAGTTCTTCCTAACACATATAGAAAGTAGGATTGTAGGTAGGAAGAGGAAGGAAGCAGAACTGTCCTTCATGAAGAGAGATTGAGACCCCCTCCCATTTCTATTTATTGTTAAAAATTAACATACTTGTTCTGAAAAAAAAATTCAACCCGTGTAGTACAATTCTACTTGTCTTCACTAGTTACAGGTGTATGTTCCAAAATTGTGTAACGAATCAAGGCTAGAAACAGGAACATTATATTGCTGGAGAGGGCGTTTCAAACCCTCAGATGGGACACAGCACTTGTATCTGGTAGAGCTCAAGGTCATGGCTTCAAGGTTCAATATTATGTGAAGAACAGATATTTTAGACAATTTTTAGAAGTTTTATAGTTTACTTAGATATAATTTTCCTCTCCTTCTGAATCCCATACAGTTTGTCTCAGGTTATTAAAGCAGTCTAGATTTCCTGGTGGTGGAATATGAAAAGTAGTTGAATACGATTAAAAAAACCCCTTCAGTCTATAATAGCTTTATTTTGAAATACTGCATATACAGAATTACAAATGGTTTGTTGTCATATAAAAGTTTTATTCTCACTGGTTGGGATTGACCTTCATATTTCACTTCTAATTTTGCTACTTGTGAACAATATGACAATCCTAGGTGCTAAGGTAAAACAGATAATGAGTAATAATCCCAAACGTCTACTGATAAAATCTCTTGCACCACTCTACACCTCTCAATACATATGTGTACATTCACTCATATCTTTGAATTAACTTTTTCTGTTTAATCTCTGTAAAATGCTGTGATAAAATGCCCTGTGTAAATATTTGTCAATATAATTAAACGTTCAAATTCTAATCTAATCTTTTCCAATACAGTATATCACGCTATAACACATATTTGTAGAATAAGAACATAAGAATGGCCATACTGGGTCAGACCAAAGGTCCATCCAGACCAGTATCCTGTTTACCGACAGTGGCCAATGCCAGGTGCCCCAGAAGGAGTCTTCTAGTGCTTCTTTGAGTGTCCTCTGCATTTTCCCACTCTTAAGATATGTGCCAATCAGTGCTGTTGAATGGTACAGCCTTCTACTAATAGTGCCTATTAGATCACTTACATCCTCCCCCCACACCCGCTGTTCCTCAGTATCTGAGCACATTCTGAGGTTGGGGCTATAAAAAGGGGCATGGCTGTGGTTGTTGCTGACCATGGATGGATGTGATCCTCCTTCAGATTCAAGATCCTTTAGAAAGTTAACTAAGTGCCTTGTTTGTTGTTTTAATAATTGATAGATAGTAGTTAGTGTGATATTCCCCAGGCTACAACCTTGACTGCTGGACTGCTGTGTCCCTTTAACTCTCCAGCCCAGGGTGCCTTTTACATTGCTTTGCTAGTGAAGAGCAAATCCCTCCAGGCTCTGCTCACTCAGAGTCACCTGCATGTAAAGTCACTCCGAGCTGAATACATGAATGCTATGCCCAGCCATTCATGAATAGATACAGGCTGACTCCACAATATCCCTCAGTCCCAGCCTTTTCACCCAGAAATATATGTCTTGTACTGTTCAGTAGCCCACTGAATTGTACAAGCTCATAAATTAGTCTGTCATTCCAGCAAAGGATAATGAATGTGCAGCAGCCTTGTTGTCTCAAGTGAAGGCCTCCCAAACACACTGGTTTAGATAAAACAATAAACATGTTTATTGACTAGAGAAAGATAGATAGATTTTAAGTGATTTACAAGTGATAAGGCAGAATTGGTTACAAAAGAAATAAAAAGATAAAACCACAATCTAATTCCTAAACTTTACCAAGCTAAATAAGATTTGAAACAAACATCATTCTCACCACACCAGATGCTGCAGACAGTTCACAGGCTGAAATTTCCTTTCAACCTGGGACCACTCCCTTTAGTTCACTGTTCTTCAGGTATTCTTTAATGTTTTGAGCAGAGCAATATAAGGAGGAGAGGTGATGGGAGAGGCATTGTTCTCCTTTCTTATACTCAGAAAGGAAAAGTCTTTACTGGGTCATGCAGGTGAGGTAGTTCCATGGCGTACGTGAGCTGCCAACTATCTTTCAGGTGAATTATAAATTTCTTGTTTACAACTTTCCTGTTGGTGAATCTCCAATTAAGCAGGTAATGGCCTTTGAGCACTGAGCTGGCATGTGAGTGTGCCTTTGTCTTTGAGAAATTAGTCTGTGTGTTACCCAGAACTGTAGCATATTTCAGTAACAATCATATAGCAGAATCTCATAATTTTACATGCAGTGATGTTACACACATCTTAACAGGACAGTGATATTCAGCAGATTACGAGTTTTCAAATGATACCTCACAAAGCATGCTTTGCACAAAATATATCATAACCATATAAAAAGGGGTTAACATGGGATACATGGTGTCACAGTTAGTTTTAGTGTTAGTTACTGTTGTTCATTATGACAGATCGGAAGATCAAGAAGCATGGTTTTAAAAGATGTGTGTTGTGTCCAGCCGTTTTCCCAGAATTATGCTTGCTGCCTAAAGTGCTTAAGAGAAGAGCATTCTTGTTGCTCAATCTGCAGTACTTTTACACCGCAAGCTAGAAAGGAGAGGCAGAATAGTCTCCAAACCCTCCTCCTACAAGAAACCTTATGGATTAAAACTTGCAGATCTAAGTTTCCCAAGGCTTCAGATAATAGAAATAGGAAGTCAGGATTCATTCCAGGACCAACTGTTTCCAGGAAGTCGTCAAACTTGGCTCCAATCTCCAGATCTAAAAAGATGGCGCATGTGGTAGCAAAGTACTCTGATCCTGTTCCAAAAGAGGTACCAGCAGTAGTGAGAACAGACTAGGATGATACACAGCCTATGCCTCAGACCTCTACAAAACCAGGAGCTTTGCTTCCAAGGAAAAAGAAGGCAAAGACTAAGCACCTTTCTGGGTCCATCATCGTTTCCTATTCAGGAGATCCATCAGATTCATACAGATCCAAGATGCAAAGAACAGAATCCAAAAAAGATTGATCCGCATAGAGAGGAACAGTTGGATGTAAATGCTGATCTGGGGCCACAAAATCAGAGATGCAGGTATCCCCCTGACCTTGACATGCTATTGGACTGGACAAATCGGCAGGACTGGCAGTACCTTCCTGGATGCCTTGACCTTATTGGTGAACTCCAGGTCGTCCATATCATCATTCCTCTAGAGTCATGACCTCAATTTCGCATCAAACCAAAGAGACTTGTGGATCTGAGTCAAAATGATCTAAGACAAACTGATGTGAGACACCCTGTGCCAAACCAATCAGATCTGATAGGTTTCAGAGTAGCAGCCGTGTTAGTCTGTATTCGCAAAAAGAAAAGGAGGACTTGTGGCACGTTAGAGACTAACAAATTTATTTGAGCATAAGCTTTCGTGAGCTACAGCTCACTTCATGCTGAATGCATCTGATGAAGTGAGCTGTAGCTCACGAAAGCTTATGCTCAGATAAATTTGTTAGTCTCTAAGGTGCCACAAGTACTCCTTTATTCAGATCTGAGACATTCAGCTCCTGTATCAACAGGTCTGATGATGGGAGACAGGTCCATTACTCTGATCCAAAATATTCTAGATGATGATGAACAAGAAGATGTGATACCTCCACATCAGGAACAAGAACCTGCAGGCAAATTTTCAGCAGATGTAAATTTCAGAGTACTCTCATCTTCTTCACAATCTGAGGATGTTGTCTGATTTCAATAGTTAATCAGCAGATTGGTTTTTACTTTAAAATTACCTTTGGTTTCAGTGGAGGAACCTTCTCATCCTCTTTTTGATATCCAGGGAAATACGTTTACAAGCAAGTTATCTCTGCCCTCTCTGGAAGGTCTCTGGCAGCCATCTAAATCAATATGCAATACTCCATCTTTCTGTCAGCCAATTGCTAAAAAGGCAGATGTATCAAATTCCGTATGAAGGATGTTCTTGTTTCCATGTACATCCTCCTCTTAATTCTTTAGTGGTGGCTACAACAATGTAAATGTTTGTGTTCTACTCCCAGTGACAGAGAAGGGAAAAGGCCACATTATTTTGGAAGGAAACTGGTGTCTTCATCTTCCAACATGTGAATAGCTAACTACCTAACCATAATGGCCAGATATCAGTTTTAGTTTGGAACAAAATGTCCCTGTTTATCACCTCTCCAACAAACCCTGCAGACTGACTCATTAAGGAAGGTCAAAATGTTGCTAAGCATGCACTGAGAGTGTCCTTTATTGTCTCAAATGCATCCTCACGATAAGTAATAACAGCAATAATGCTCCAAAGACATGCATGGTTGTGCTCCTCTTCTCCATAAAGGAAGTCAAAAGTTGAGGACCTTCTGTTTCAGAGGGATGGACTTTTCAGTTGGAAAACAGGTGAAATTTATAGCTAGATATTAAAGAATTACACTGTTTTTTGTCATTCCACTTTGTTTTAGTAATGTTTATTTTGTCATGGTCTTTTTCCATTTCCAGGCATTCTAGCTCACCTGTTCCTGCTTTTAAGATTCTCACATTTGCATATCGGCATTTACAGATTTTACTTTTAATTGAGTATGTGCCTATTTTTATTTAAGTCCTCAGCCTATTGTGTTAGTTATTTTTGCTTGTCTTGAATGTTAATAATGTATTAATTTTTAGGTCTCTATATTTATAGGAAATAAGTGCATCATAAATATCAAATTGTGATAATTATGCATTTATCCTTTTATTAAAGAAGTCCCTTGAACTAATCAAAGTAAACAACAAAACAAATACCTTCCATTATTTAAAATCCCATGTACAGTACTAAACACTTTTTCCCCCTCATTATCCTTTTTTCTTGACTCTCCTCCCATGAGGATTTTGGTTGTGTCCTCAAGTAGAGGCTCATGAAATTATTGAAGCTTTAAAGAGCTGTGAGATGTCTTGTCACATGGCACATAACTCAAGAGAGTAGATCTGTGTAAGGTATTATATTTAGAGAATAACTGCTGTTAAGGGGATTTTTTTCCCTTTTCTGAACAATACATTAAATTGGACTTTTCAACAAACACTGAAAATCTGTTATCTTTAAATATTAGTCTACCGAATCTTTCACATACGTGTTTTCACCTCTCTCAAAAATAGCTTATAATCCTGATCTTTGCATTTGTTCCGTTGTTCATTCTCACAGGTTCTCACTAAGGAGTTTTACAGCCTTCAAGCATCTAGTGAGACACGCATTACTGAACTTCAGGCACAGAATTCTGAGCATCAGGCAAGGCTAGACACTTATGAAAAACTGGAAAAAGAACTTGATGAGATAATAATCCAAACTGCAGAAAGTAAGTTTAGACCCAAATTATACTGTTTTTACTGGTGTTCTTATAAAAGATGCATTGTTTGTGATGATATATAATATTTAGCACAAGCCTTTTTAGGTAGAGATTCAAGATTCAATAAATCCTTTCAGTACATAGTGTGTATTGAAAATATTATTGCATTTTATATTAAAAATATTTATTGCATCTTAAACATCTGTACCAAATATTATAAATTTAGATTTAAATACTTATGCTAATGTTAAGCACTCCTTATTATACCAATCATTCCACTGTTTCTGTGTTACTCTCTCCACCTCTTGTTTCTTATTGTATTCTTAGATTGTTAGGTGTATGAGATATGGACTGTCTTTTTTTTATTACATACGTATATAGCACCTAACATGATAAAGCCCAATCCTTGGTTCTACAATCCAATATATAAATATAATTTGGTTTTAATTCAATGAATGATTAATATTAATTAGGTATGGTCCACGGAAGCTGGATCCAGATATGTATTAGGTACTGATGAGGATTCAAAATTTTGGTTCAAGGTAAAACCATGATGAGAGTTCAGGCTTCACTCTGTAGAAATCTTATAAACTATTTTTGAAAGATGTTTGCCCAAACCAGCAAAAATAACAGGATCTCCCATTTTACCTGATGGAATCCTTGTGATGTCATTTCTTTTAATGAGATTTCAGCGATCTTGGTTCATATCCAGATGATCCAGAAAACAGGCCCCTTTCAGTTTCAGATGCAAACAGGAACTAAGACCTTGATCATAGAATCATAGAATATTAGGGTTGGAAGAGACCTCAGGAGGTCATCTAGTCCAATCCCCTGCTCTAAGCAGGACCAACACCAACTAAATCATCCCACCCAAGGCTTTGTCAAGCTGGGCCTTAAAAACCTCTAAGGATGGAGATTCCACCACCTCCCTAGGTAACCCATTCCAGTGCTTCACCACCCTCCTAGTGAAATAGTGTTTCCTAATATCCAGCCTAGACCTCCCCCACAGCAACTTGAGACCATTGCTGCTTGTTCTGTCATCTGCCGCCACTGAGAACTGCCTAGCTCCGTTCTCTTTGAAACCCCCCTTCAAGTAGTTGAAGGTTGCTATCGAATCCCCCCTCACTCTTCTCTTCTGCAGACTAAATAACCCAAGTTCCCTCAGCCTTTCTTTGTAAATCATGTGCCCCAACCCCCTGATCATTTTCATTGCCCTCCACTGGACTCTCTCCAATTTGTCCACATCCCTTCTGTAGTGAGGGGACCAAAACTGGACACACTACTCCAAATGTGGCCTCACCAGTGCCGAATAGAGGGGAATAATCACTTCCCTCAATCTGCTGGCAATGCTCCTACTAATGCAGCCCAATATGCTTTTGGCCTTCTTAGCAACAAGGGCACACTGCTGACTCATATCCAGCTTCTCGTCCACTATAATCCCCAGGTCCTTTTCTGCAGAACTGCTGCTTAGCCAGTCAGTCCCCAGCCTGTAGCAGTGCATGGGATTTTTCCTTCCTAAGTGCAGGACTCTGTACTTGTCCTTGTTGAATCTCATCAGATTTCTTTTGGACCAATCCTCCAATTTGTCTAGGTCCCTCTAGACTCTATCCCTACCCTCCAGTGATCTGCCTCTCCCCCCAGCTTACTGTCATCTGCGAACTTGCTGAGGGTGCAATTAATCCCATAATAAAGATGTTGAACAAAACCGGCCCCGGGACCGACCCCTAGAGCACTCCGCTTGATACCGACTGCCAACTAGACATGGAGCCATTGATCACTACCTGTTGAGCCCGACAATCTAGCCAGCTTTCTATCCACCTTATAGTCCATTCATCCAACCCATATTTTTTTAACTTTCTGGCAAGAATACTGTGGGAGACCGTATCAAAAGCTTTGCTAAAGTCAAGATATATCACATCCACTGCTTTCCCCATATCCGCAGAGCCAGATGTCTCATCATAGAAGGCAATCAGGTTGGTCAGGCATGACCAACCTGGTGAATCCATGTTGACTGTTCCTGATCACCTTCCTCTCCTCCAAGTGCTTCAAAATGGATTCCTTGAGGATCTGCTCCATGATTTAGCCGGGGACTGAAGTGAGGCTGACCGGTCTGTAGTTCCCCGGGTTCTCTTTCTTCCCTTTTTAATATATGGGCACTATATTTGACTTTTTCCAGTTGTCTGGGACCTCCCCTGATTGCCACGAATCCTGAAGCTCACTGTGTTTTAAGTAAACCATTATGTCCAGGTGGAGCCCTGGAATGCACTGATCGAAGGATCAGGACCTAAGTTTGAAAGGCATATTCAAGGATTCTAATCCATCTCCCACTATCTACCTGCCTTCTTTTCACCCAGAAAAATCCAGAACAAGGGTTCTATTTGAGGTTCCATTTAGGGCCTACCTGTCATTAAAATGAGATAGACTGATGATATATTCACTTAAGTACAACAGAGGAATTTTGCAAAAGTATGTTACATTTTTTCTGTAAATAACAGCTCACAAAAGAGTGTGAGGTTATAAAGGTACCTTGGATTGGGCTGAGGTGCTTTCAACAACCAAGATATGGATATTGTATGAAACAAGCAGCTGTACCTGGAAGCTGGCGTGGCTGTCTAATTTGGACCCAATATAACCTTTATTAATGTATATTTGATATATGCTACTGACAATAATATAAACACATGCTGTTGGAAATGCATGTGTTATTCTTCCGGAGGGGTATTCATGTGTCAACATCAGACACATTTAGAATTGTTTGGACTTACACCCTCATTAGGATAATGAAAAATTTTCCCAAAGAGAGAATCGTAGTTTAGAATGGTTTCTTCCTTAGTCCTGCAAACTTTCTTATTTCATCTGGTGTTTAGCAGGTAAAAGATCTGTTGCTGGAATTGAAAGTATTAACTACTTGCTAAATATTTTAATGAGTTATAATTAAACCTTAAAATTGTATGCTGCAATACAAGATTTTTTTAAAAATTGGTTTACTATTGAACTGTTATTCAATTTTTAAAAAGGAAAGAATTATAATACAAATTATTAGTTTACCATGCCTATTTTTACTGTTACTTAATATCTACCGTTGTTTTCTTATTTTTAAAAAAAGATTTGAGTAAATCTAATGATGATGAAAATGAGGACACTGCATTCTTTTGAAGTTAATCATTGGTATTTTTTACTGTTCTAGCTTCTGAGGTAGTGGAAGCTATAATTATAGTTGCATTCATTTTAACCCAATCTCCTCCAGTTGCTGGTAATTTTTTTAAATAGATCTCTTTATGGCTGAAAACTTTCATGCTTGGTCTCAACGAAATGTTGAACTTTTGGGGAAAATTAAAATTGTTTAACAACATGTGAGGAGGAGGGAGGACACTTTCCCTGTATATTCCAACTGAAATATTGGCATTTTAATTCAGATAATCAAGGAAGCAAAAGCAACCCATTTCAAGAAAATACGTTCATGATTTTTAAAGTTCTGAACATTTATATTTGGATCATTCACTTGTGTGCCATAGAAATCTTGTAATCTGCTTCCCAGAGCAATAAGAAACAAAAGATTTAGGATGAAATCCTGACTCCATTGAAATGGGATCTTACCATTAACGTCAATGGGGCCAAGATTTCATCCTTTGAATTCTGGGACCATTCTGAATCTCTATATCTTGAAATGCTATATATAGAGAGGTGTGTGTGTGTGTGTGTATATATATACACACATATATATATTTGCCCTTAACTGATAAGGCCTTTACTCTTGTATGCTATCTTTGTTTTTGTAAGAAATGATATATTTACATAAGTGAAATGGCTTGTATCAAATAATCTGTTGACATTTTTTCTCTGCAGAGCATGTGCATGTGGAAGAGACTATTGAAATGTGACTATTACAGTCACTTCACTGACTCCTCATTATGCTTCGCTTATTAATATTACAATAGTCTGTAATGGCCTAGTCAGGGATCTGTCTGTTTTAGAAATTTATACTATTTGTTGTAATAACTGAGTGCCTTATGTATAAATAGCAGTAACGAAATCACTTGGAATCTCTGGGTCGTCTTTGTTTTTGGGGTAAAAACTATACTGGGATATTTTTGGTTTTAGATTGTTTGGATGATTTGGGTGGGGGGCGGATTTTTGAGTGGATGAGATATCAGTGTTGTGAATGTCATTCTTATGATGGGGCCATTTTGTGCTAAGCACTGGATAACATTAATTAAAAAGACTGTCCCTACGCCCGTGAGCTTACTATGTGCAATACAGTTGATCACAACAGGGGAAAAAACAGTCTGGGGGATGGAGGAAGAGGGTAAGATAACAGTAAAACGAGCATGTTTTAGCTCAATGAGCATTAGCCTTGGCTCATTGCCTACATTATGTTCAAACTTGGTGTCTTTGCCTGCCAGACCCTACATTACATAGCCTGTGCCTACATATCTGAACAAATAGGGTGAGATTCTGTGCTGCTCCTCTAAGAGTATGTCTACACAACAACTAGACACCCTCGGCTGGCCTGTGCTAGCTGACTCGGGCTCTCAGGTTCGGGCTGCTGGGCTGTTTTATTGCTGTTTAGACTTCCAGGCTCAGGCTAGAGCCTGGGCTCTAGGATCCTGTGAGGTGGGAGGGTCCCAGAGCTTGGGCTCCACCCCAGTCCAGAAGTCTACACAGAAATGAAATAGCCCTGCAAGCCCGAGTCAGCTGGCACAGTCCAACCACGGATTTTTCTTTGCTGTGTAGACATAGCCTAAGAGGCCTAGCACAGAACTTGCAGTCCAGTGGGAGGGGAGGGGTTAAGGTGGCTGTAAGCCATCGTTGCACCCTCCTGATCCCGTGGTGTTCTGGGAACTGGAGAGGTCCCTAGTATAATTTAGACAGCTTTGGAGGTTTGTCTAAATTGTGGCATTCTCCCCAAGCTACCCCTTTTAATAGTATTGTATCAAATACAAACAATGTGGACGAGCAGGGTGAGACAGAATCTGGCTGTGATAACAACAGTCTTGCTGCTTACACAGTAGGTTTATGTTAGTAGCAGTGGGATTTTCTATCACATAATAACTGTGGATATAATTACTCCCATATTTGAATGTTACCCCAGTCCCATGTTGTTTGTATTTGTTACAATGCTATTGAAAGGGATAATCTGCTCTAGAAAAATTTGCATTTGTAGTGTGTCAGGAAGTGTGCCCTATGTTAACCTGATATTAATTTTTGTTGATCTGTAAATCTTATACCCTTGGATTATAAAAAAACCAAGCTTTTTAAAGCAATTTTCATTTGGTTTTAAATCCTTAGAAGTATGTTTTCAGGTTGCTGAGTTATCTAACTCTAAATAGTTCTTTTAGCTTTTCTCTTTGCTTTTAAAAACTTAAAATTCAATGTAATATTAGGCTTGTTTCTGTTATAATTTAGTTTACTGGTAAAAGTATTGGTGTAAGTATAATTTATATCATCACATGCTTAAGGGAAAGCTTTATATGTACTTAGTTTGTCAATAATAGCAGAGCTTGGAGATAATAGATTAGATCTTTTTTTTTTCTGCATTCTGAACTGAGATGCTCTTGCCAATATTTTGTCCTGTACATTCTGTGCACATAGTTCTACTTAGAGTGTATAATTATGCTATTGCATGTTGCAGCAATGGTAATCTGCCAGAGAAATAAGAAACGCTCACTCTTGGAACTAAAATAACTTGTTTGCTATTTTATATCACAAATGAGATGGTGAAAGAGGAGTGATTAACTATTTTTTATGTGAAGGATCTAAATTAATGAACTACATAATATAAAATAATCCAAAACATAATATTTTGAGACTTCTGACAATGCATTAGTAAAAATATATTTCAAAGAACAATCATATACTGGTAGGAGGATGGACTGAATAGGTCTTTTTCTCTCTGTGAATTTTATAATTAGTAGGGCATGTTGGTTTTATTTTTGAAGTTGAGAAAGAGAGAAAATGAGTTTCGTAGCCAAAATGTTTCTTACCACAAAATATCCATTTTCAAAATATGTAATCTTTGACAAGCTACATTTTCAAAAGCACAAACATCGAAGTCTTAATTAGAATACTTGTTGGCAGTTTCAGGGGGGAGTCAAAGAATCATATTTGCGTAGAGACTGCACCTGTCAGAAAAAGTTAAGGCATGTTGGCACAGTAGTGTATGAAGGAAGTTCACATTATGAATGCATTTGTGGCTAAAGTGTTGACTTCAGCCCTCAAGGACATCCATTCTTTTTAATTTCCTCTGTTTCATAAGTACTACATTTACTTCAAATTTAAAAAGTGAAGAGTGTGTGTGAGAGAGAGAGAAAGAGAGAGAGATTATAAGCATAATTGCTTAAAGGTTTAATCAGTTCTTCTTTGACTGGTTGCAGACTTGTGTGTTACCAGTGCACTGAAGTCAGAGAACATTGCCTAGAAATACCTGTAGGAGCACTGCATGTGTTTAAGAGTAGCACTGCCCTGACCCCTTCAGTTCCTTCTCACTGCCCGCAGCTTAACTCAGATTGTGCCATGTGGTACCTTAGCTCACACTTCTGTTGTTCTCTCAGCTAGTTTTCTCTCGATATTTTGTATATAGTTAGTAGTAGTGCCCTAGGCTCAGAGAGAGTCTTCCACCTCTTCTAAAAGGAGAACTAGGTGGCACTGGGGTTCCTGGAGTGTTCAGGGTAGAGCTGAGCCATGTACATGCTCTCCTGTAGAGAAGCAAGATCATTCAAGCACTGTACTATCAACTCTAGTACTGCCTGTTGGGCGGCCATTGAGTCTAGGACCAACAACATCAGCCTCAGCGCTGATCATATTGATCCCACAGGCTTATCAAACAGCAGCAGATTTACTCTTCGTCTTTGTTCTGGACTCACTTTTTGATATAGGCCACATGCCTTTATGTAGTCCAGCATGTGAGATTGCACCTTCATCCTCTTCAAACTTTGTTGAAGTTGGTCTGTCTCCCAACTTGTCAGTCATTGGGTGGGTTGACCAAGTGCCATTGGTGATCCTGGAGTCCCTAGCATGGTGGGCAGATCAGAACAATATATGTGAAGGTGTCTCCTTTTCCTGTCCTCCGCTGACCAAGACTATAGTTATCCATGCCTCCACACTAGGACAGGGGGCGGGGTGGGGAAACACATCTAAGTACATTGAAAATTCAGGGTTTGTGGACAGAACAAGAACCCTCCTTTCACATGAACATCGTGGAGCTCTGAATGATTTACGGTGCATGCTGGAACTTTTGGGCTCAGATCAAGGGCACAGAGATTCACATACTTTACTGACAATACCACTGCAATGTATTATGTGTACAAGCAGGGTAAAGCCAGCTCCAACTAGCTCTGTCAGGAAGCAATAAAGTTTTAGCTCTTCTGCATGGAGGATGCCCTCATTCCTATAGCCACAGACTTCTTGGGTGCTCCGAATTAGTTGGCTGATAACCTCAGCAGGAATTTCTCCCAGAATCACGAGTGGTCTGTGAAGAACAGCATTCTGAGGTCCATCTTCAGAGAATGGGGCATTCCAACTATTGAACTGTTTGTAACTAATTGCAACAAAAAGTATTGTCAGGCAGTTCAACAAGTCCTACTTAATAGTAGAAAACCCTCTACTAGGTCTGCCTCTTTGGCCAAGTGGAAACATTTTTTGGTTTGTTCACTGGCTGGAGGAATTCAACTGTGCTAGCCTGCATTTTGGACTACATATTAGTAATCCTCAGGTCTCTCTTTCAGCTCATTGAGAGTCCACTTGGTGACAATCTCGTCATTCCATCCTCCAATCCAAGAAAAGTCAGATTTCTCTAACTCCATGGTAGTAAGATTTCTTAAAGGCATTGTCTATCCTCTTTACATCTGTAAAACTAGTAGTTACTTTGTGGGACCTTAACACTGTGCTGGCTGTCCTTATGGGACCTTCTTTTGAGCCCCTAGCAACTCATTCTCTGTCCTTCCTTTGCCAAAAAAAGCCTTTACAATGGCCATAATATCCACAAGGAGAGTAAGTAAACTGAAGGCCCTAATGATGGGGCCTCCATATAGGCAGTTTGTCAAAGACAAGGTGACCTGAAGACAATACCTTAAATTGTTGTCTGAATCAGTTTCACATTAACCAAACAATAGTATTTTTTTCCTAAGCCTCACTCAAATGCAGATGAAGAACCCCTTCATTCATTGAATGTGAGATGATCCTTGGTATTCTTTCTGGAAAGGGCTGAACCATTTCATGCATCACCTTGGCTTTTTGTCTCCTATGTGGATCGAATAAGGGCCAGGCAGTTTCTGCACAGAAGATGTCCAAATGGATTACTTCCTGCATTACGATAGAATATAGGGTAGCTCAGGCCAAACCTCCACAGAGACTGGTGGCTCAGTCGATGAGGGCCCAGGAAGCTTTGGTCACTTTTCTCAGTTAGGTCTTTGTATTGGATATTTGCAGCGCCACTCTCTGGTCTTTCATGCATAACCTTTGCCAGACACTATCCTGTTAGGTGCTGTGTCTAGATCAGATGCAAACTTTGGAAAGGCAGTTCTGCAGTCGCTGTTTAAGTATTCTGAGCCCCACCTCCTTCTGTTACTGCTTGTGAGTTACCTGAGTGGAATACATGTCTAACCACTCAAAGAAGAAAAAATGGTTACTTACCTATTCAGTAACTGTTGTTCTTTTAAGATTTAGGTGCAGACATATATTCCACTCTCTGTCCCCTCTGTATCAGAGTCTCCACTCGGGATTCCAGTTCAAAGGAACTCAGGTCACTGCCGTTCTTAAATATCCCTAGGAAGGGATTTGAGGGTCAGGGGCACACGCGTGCCCCACTGGGTACTGCTAGGCAAAGTTCTCCCATCTTTTCACACTGTGCACATGCACGCCTGAGTGTAATACACATCTGCACCCATATCTCAAAGAACAGCAGTTGCAGAATAGGTAAATAACATTTTTTTCATCTTTTACATTAATTATGTTCCTTTGAGGATCAATATTTTTAAAATAATGGATACATCTTTTTGTTTGTTTGTTTTTTTGAAGTGGAAAATGAAGATGAAGCAGAAAGGATTCTCTTTTCCTATGGGTATGGTGCTAATGTTCCTACAACAGCCAAAAGGCGGCTAAAGCAAAGGTAAAAACTGTCTCCCTGGTTTACGTCTAAACTAAATAAAAATAGATTCAATATATCCTCCATTTTGGAAGCCAGCCATTTTGAATGATGCAAAGTAATTTTATTTTTTAGATAACTGTCCAATATTCAGAAATCTTTAAAACAGTGGTTTTGTGCTTTGTGTGTATAAATGGGTTCGTGGATATTTTTCTGGGTTATTGACGCTTCATATTTTTTTCTTTATCTTTCAGAAAGATAGGTATCTGGATGCCTTGAGTATGCAAAACTCAAATAGCTGTAAAATCAAACTAGTTGAAATAAATTTTCAGCTAATTTAACATACCAATAGTGAACTCAGAAGCACAGCTGTCAGGAAAGGGGAAAAGTCCAAAGTTTCAGAGCATCATTATCTCATCTGAATTGTGTTCATACAAGGTCTGATTCACCTGTGTCTCTCTCCAGTTTACTCTGGTTTAACTTCACTGAAATCTGTGAAGTAACAGCAGTGTAAAACTGAAAAAACACAGTGGTGAGTGAATCAGGCCCATAATATTTTCTGAATGTTAGTATGTTAAATATGTACCTAAATATATACAATGTGGGCAAATTGATGTTTCTGCTAGAGTCATAAGTTTTTTATTTCATTTGGGTGTTTAAATAATTAATCTTAATATTGTGTTAGACAAGGAGGATGAGGTAATATCCTTAATTGAACCAACTTCTGATGGAGAAAGCTTGTAGTTCTTGGCAGATCAGGTCTTCAGTCACTCCTGGATTGTATTTAAGACATTTTGATCACATTCTGTTATCTACAGATAGTTTTAACAAAAAGTATAACTTGAGAAAAGAGTGCATTTGTTTGTTTGTTTTTTCATTTTCTCAAATTGTATTCAGTCCAAAAAAGGAAACCTTTCTCAAGTATGTCTGGCTTTTACTGCAGAAATTACATGTATCCACCCCCAAAATTAACAATTGTATAATTTATTGAATATCATTTTGAACAGAAGTACACACTGTAATTACTGGATAATATTAAGGACAAAAGGAGGTAGTCCCCTAAATCTTCACTCTCTGCATAAACCTATGTACCATTTCCTGTTTACTTTGAATTTGTTTTTAAAATAGGTTATCTCAATATGTGTCATACCAGGACACATTTTTCTCCATACGTGTGCAAAAAATTAGTATGTATACAGTTTAAAGGCCTCATGCCAAGTAGTAAGATTTGCATAGTATTTGATTTATAGATGCTTATTTTGCCTTACCATATTGGTATTTGCATCTAGATTCTTTTCTTAGAAAACTGCATACGATATTCTCCAAAATATCACCTGTAAAAAAAAATATATATATCCTATTTTGGTGTTCATAGTAGGAGACTTTTCAGTACTCTATACCTTAAATTCCTAAATCCTTTGGCTCCAATATGGGAAGCCTTTTGCTACTGTTTCTGTAAAACAGCAACCACCTAGTGTCTGCAAACCTTAGTTTCTTGGTACTGTACTGATAATGAAGGAACTTCAGGGAGCCACTTGTCTGGTCTATATTGCTACTGCTGCATCACATCCATCTACTTGTCTTGGAAGGGGGAAAAAACTATTTTTCCTCAGAATTATATCCTGTTTGGGTGCCATTAGTGCATCTCATTGTGTGTGTCTGTATTCTTTTGGGTGTCATGTAAGATATAGGGTATGTCTACACTAGGAATGCTTTACCAATGAGTGTACTATACTAGCAAAACTCTCCTACTGTGGGCATGGCTATGCTAACAAAGCTGTGCTTTGCAGCAGTATAGTAAAGCCAAGTTATACAAATAAACAAGTTATACTGGTAAAAGTGCTGTTTTTGCCAGTATAACTGCATCTACACTAGGGACTTCTGCCAGCGCAGCTCTGTTCAGGGATCACACCTCTTCACACCGCTGACTGACACATCTGTGCCAACAGAAGTCTGTACTGTGGACCTGAGCTTAAATATATTTTTCCATTATGTCTGATTTTGATCACATTTGAGTGCTTGGACCTACAGAGGTTCATTGTTTTAACTCAAATCTTTCTCAAAAACACCAAAATAGGTATTTTACTCACTTTCCCTTCTTTCATAAAATATTGGGGTTGCAGCAGCCCAGCAACTTTAAAAGTGCTGCAACTGCAGGTGTATTTTGTCCATAATGGATGGAACTTAGCCACTGTCTTGTCATCAGTCATGGAGAAAGCTGTGTCTAGCTGGTCTGTAAGATCTATGCCCACAGAGCACTGGAATGTCAGTTGCAGGGTGAGTGCATGAAGGCACTTTGGTCTTCTTTTGGCATTTCCTGGATTCAAGCCAGATGGCATAGTTGAGCATCCCAGGTTGTCATCAAGAGGCTCCATCAGTGTCCTCCAGGTTTGGTTCAGGACTAATGAGAGGTCCAGAAGTTGTGGATTCTTGAAACAAGTGCTTCTCTGTTATGTTGAAATAGTCATCACTATCATTGGTTCATCAGTACAGCATCCCAATGTGGTGCTCCATATTGACTTAGAGAGCAGGATCTCTTCTCCCCCACAAGCATAGATGCGTAGGCATAGGTCAGCTGACTTCCATGATGTTTTTCTCAGGTGCATTGGCACCTCTCTCACGCTTACTGCTCTAGGACACAGCAGGACATATTAAACCTCTGTGGCATGAGGGAAGACTGTCAAAACCCCATAGGGTATGTCTACACTACGGAATAAGGTCGAATTTATAGAAGTCGGTTTTTTAGAAATCGGTTTTATAAATTCGAGTGTGTGTGTCCCCACAGAAAATGCTCTAAGTGCATTAAGTGCATTAACTCGGCGGAGCGCTTCCACAGTACCGAGGCAAGCGTCGACTTCCGGAGCGTTGCACTGTGGGTAGCTATCCCACAGTTCCCGCAGTCTCCGCTGCCCATTGGAATTCTGGGTTGAGATCCCAATGCCTGATGGGGCTAAAACATTGTCGCGGGTGGTTCTGGGTACATATCGTCAGCCCCCCCGTTCCCTCCCTCCCCCCGTGAAAGCAAGGGCAGACAATCATTTCGCGCCTTTTTTCCTGAGTTACCTGTGCAGACGCCAAACCATGGCAAGCATGGAGCCCGCTCAGGTAACCGTCACCCTATGTCTCCTGGGTGCTGGCAGACGCGGTACGGCTTTGCTGCACAGTAGCAGCAACCCCTTGCCTTCTGGCAGCAGACGGTGCAATACGATTGGTAGTCGTCCTCATCGTGTCCGAGGTGCTCCTGGCCGCGTCGGCTGGGAGCACCTGGGCAGACATGGGCGCAGGGACTAAATTTGGAGTGACTTGACCAGGTCATTCTCTTTAGTCCTGCAGTCAGTCCTATTGAACCGTCTTACGGTGAGCGGGCAGGCGATACGGACTGCTAGCAGTCGTACTGTACCATCTTCTGCCAGGCAAGCAAGAGATGAGGATTGCTAGCAGTCGTATTGCACCATCTTCTGCCAGGCAGGCAAGAGATGGGGATGGCTAGCAGTCGTACTGTACCATCTTCTGCCGAGCAGCCATGAGATGTGGATGGCATGCAGTCCTTCTGCACCGTCTGCTGCCAGCCAAAGATGTAAAAGACAGATGGAGTGGGTCAAAACAAGAAATAGACCAGATTTGTTTTGTACTCATTTGCCTCCTCCCCTGTCTAGGGGACTCATTCCTCTAGGTCACACTGCAGTCACTCACAGAGAAGGTGCAGCGAGGTAAATCTAGCCATGTATCAATCAGAGGCCAGGCTAACCTCCTTGTTCCAATAACAACGATAACTTAGGTGCACCATTTCTTATTGGAACCCTCCGTGCAGTCCTGCCTGAAATACTCCTTGATGTACAGGCACCCCCTTTGTTGATTTTAGCTCCCTGAAGCCAACCCTGTAAGCCGTGTCGTCAGTCGCCCCTCCCTCCGTCAGAGCAACGGCAGACAATCGTTCCGCGCCTTTTTTCTGTGCGGACGCCATACCACGGCAAGCATGGAGCCCGCTCAGCTCACTTTGGCAATTAGGAGCACATTAACCACCACACGCATTATTCAGCAGTGTATGCAGCACCAGAACGTGGCAACGCGATACCGGGCGAGGAGGCGACGTCAGCGCGGTCCTGTGAGTGATCAGGACATGGACACAGATTTCTCTGAAAGCATGGGCCCTGACAATGCATGCATCATGGTGCTAATGGGGCAGGTTCATGCTGTGGAACGCCGATTCTGGGCTCGGGAAACAAGCACAGACTGGTGGGACCGCATAGTGTTGCAGGTCTGGGACGATTCCCAGTGGCTACGAAACTTTCGCATGCGTAAGGGCACTTTCATGGAACTTTGTGACTTGCTTTCCCCTGCCCTGAAGCGCATGAATACCAAGATGAGAGCAGCCCTCACAGTTGAGAAGCGAGTGGCGATAGCCCTGTGGAAGCTTGCAACGCCAGACAGCTACCGGTCAGTTGGGAATCAATTTGGAGTGGGCAAATCTACTGTGGGGGCTGCTGTGATGCAAGTAGCCCACGCAATCAAAGATCTGCTGATATCAAGGGTAGTGACCCTGGGAAATGTGCAGGTCATAGTGGATGGCTTTGCTGCAATGGGATTCCCTAACTGTGGTGGGGCTATAGACGGAACCCATATCCCTATCTTGGCACCGGAGCACCAAGCCGCCGAGTACATAAACTGCAAGGGGTACTTTTCGATAGTGCTGCAAGCTCTGGTGGATCACAAGGGACGTTTCACCAACATCAACGTGGGATGGCCGGGAAAGGTGCATGATGCTCGCATCTTCAGGAACTCTGGTCTGTTTCAAAAGCTGCAGGAAGGGACTTTATTCCCAGACCAGAAAATAACTGTTGGGGATGTTGAAATGCCTATATGTATCCTTGGGGACCCAGCCTACCCCTTAATGCCATGGCTCATGAAGCCATACACAGGCAGCCTGGACAGTGGTCAGGAGCTGTTCAACTACAGGCTGAGCAAGTGCAGAATGGTGGTAGAATGTGCATTTGGACGTTTAAAGGTGCGCTGGCACAGTTTAC